CAGGAGTGTCCACTAAGATATCCAGAGAGGTTGGGTGAGAGCCTTGGTACAAATGCGGTATAAACTTGGTCCGCTACAACACGCTCATATATCTTCGACAGAGCCGTCAAAATAGACACAGGGCGATAGCAAGACTTCTTTGTCTCATCATCCTTCTTAAAAACTGGAGAGATATTGCTGCTCTTCCAGACTGTTGGCCACGATCTGTTAGTAATGAAGTAATTGATTAGTCTGGTAAGCGGTTGCGCTATGGCTGGAGCAGATATGCGCAAAAGTCTCTGGGAGATAGAATCACAGCCGACAGCCTTCCTTGGGTTGAGTCTGTCCAAGATGTTTTTCAGATAATTGTCGTTCACAGTCGAGAAGCTAAATGATTGTGTATCGCCCTTCTCAGTAATAAGCTTAACACTCGGGTGGTCAGCAAAGTCTTCAATAGTTCTGTCAGTCCCTTCATTCACCGCCACATCACAAAAATATTCGTTAAAGATTTCAGCCACAGCCGAAGAATCGGTGACTACACGATCGACTTCCATCAAGATGATTTTTGACTGCTTCTTTCCTTTGTTGGGTAAGAGGGGTTCCATTTTACTCCAAAATTCACCGTAGTGTTTACAATTATTCGAAGTGTCCGTACAAAAAGCTTTCATGCCATTTCTTTTTAACAAAGTGACCCTGTTTCTTTGTTTTCTGTAGGCTTCCCAAGAGGCTTCTGTAGGATTCCTGGCGTGAAGCCTGAATAGACGATTCCGGCGAGAGATTTCGTGTTGAAGCTCTGGGGTGATCCATGGTAATAATAATAATAATCGAATATTTCCTCAGGATAACCTTTCAGTACAAAGTGCTGTTATCAACGGGGTCCTGCTAAGAATTAAAAACTAATAAACAAGAATTATTAAGATATATAAAANAGTGTTTACAATTATTCGAAGTGTCCGTACAAAAAGCTTTCATGCCATTTCTTTTTAACAAAGTGACCCTGTTTCTTTGTTTTCTGTAGGCTTCCCAAGAGGCTTCTGTAGGATTCCTGGTGTGAAGCCTGAATAGACGATTCCGGCGAGAGATTTCGTGTTGAGCTCTGGGGTGATCCATGGTAATTGATCTCCTCTTACACGCTTTTTCTTCAGTGGCGCGTGCTTATCAAGCACCTCGTTATAGAGCTTCGCCCAGTGGTCCCACAGGTCGTCTACGTCGTCAAATATGTAAGCAGTCTCCCACGGGACCTCATTTAGCTCAGACAAAAAAGCTTCATCATTAAACTGACGCATGCTTCGGTATTCAATCTTACGTGCTTTCGGCAAAAGTTCAAAACACTACAAATCATGCCGATATGAAATAAAATCAACGCAACCTGTATCACAGATCTATGTTACAATCGATCGCTACTTGTTGGCCATTATTATGTTTAAATGAAAAAAAGCCGAAACAATCTAGTTACCAGTTCGAGAAAAGTCCGCAGAACGTGATCGCAATGCATGTCGGGAAGGGTCTTTACACCTCGTGCGCGGGAAAACATGGCGGTCGATTCAAGACAAATTTTATAAGTCTAAAACCAGTTCTCGCTTTCCAAACTTTGACGCTAGCAACACTTGGCAAATG